TCATCTGTTAGTTGTGTATATAAACTACATTTTTATTTACAAATACCAACCAATTTTAAATTAATACTGAGTGTTAAATATGCAAAAAAAAAAAAAAAAAATAATAATAATGAGTAATTCAATATGTAGACCATACTGGGAGTGAACGGTATACAACGAGACAGTAATTTGAGGGTTAAATAGGGGTAAGTCTTGAATTATATGACCTAAAATAATTTTTCATCATTTATTAAGATGTTTGACGTTGCTGTTATACATTTACGTTTGGTTCGTATTATTATTATTACAGTAACTTAAGAACTGTAGGTCGTAAAAATAAAATCGGGGAAATATGTTTTCCTCCATTTTTGTAAATTTCTTTTTCCGCACACCCCGTACCTGTATGTGCACATAAAACCGTGCTACGTAGTTGTGCCAACTATGAGTATATCTGTACATAATTTTATTCAGTCTGTTAGTTTGCTTGTAATAATTATCTAGTTCCTCGTGCGATGATAGGTTAGATCAACCATTGTATAAAAATAAATAAATATTAATTCTATATTTTATTGCAATGCTCATGTTTAGTTTCCTGTACCACCAGTCTGTGTGTGTGTATGTTTAGGTTTGCACTGTATGGCCGTATTTTATATTGTAGTGGTGCACCGAAGTTGTATAAAGACGAAAGATTGAAATATTAAAGTGTCGTTCACGCGCGTCAGCAGATGCGGAAAATGTGAATAATGTTGCGGTATGTTTGTTCAGCTGCTGGATGTAACGCCCGTTGTATGATGTTAAAGTTATATTCTTGTAAAATTCTAGCTCCTTGTTTTAAAATATTCATTAACGTGTAACTACTTTATTTCATCTTTCACTACATATATGTTTCGAGTTAGCCTTGTAGGTCACTCGCAAGAAATATTCGTGTCAGCTGTTTAGTTTTAAAAGGAAAACTTTCCTCAAACTGGGGTGTTCAAGGATATTAATACCCCCTCCCCCTTCGCCCCACTCGTGAAGATTACCTTTAAGTAAAATTCGGCTTTTAATAGCTGTATTAGCATGTGTCTTGATTTTAAATTTTCCACTGGTAATTGGCGAAGAAGAAGAAGAATGTCGAGACTGACATCCCGGATTTGGACAACTTTCGACGTAATCTGTGTCACAGGTTGGCGGGGATCTATAAATCCAGTGCCGTGGAATTTGTTGTTGGGGGGGCGGGTACTAACTTACGTTATAGCATACTATATTACGAAGTTATTACGAAGTTAGTACAGATATCTGCATATTTTATTCTGAGTACT